GGGGGGGGGTGCGCAAAATTTTCAGACAATCTGGTTGAGGCTCACATGCAGGTCTATTTATAGACTTAAAAGGTTTGAACAGTTGCTAACGGAATGTCCATTGTCTGATTTCTTTTTCTTCTTTCCTCCAGTGAGGGAGGATGAAACCATCGCCATGATCCAAACACTCCTCCAGGCGGGGGCGGACCTGAACGCCGTAGACCGCGAGGGGGACACGCCCCTCCACATAGCCGTGCGCAGCAACAAGGGACACTCGGACGCCTCCACCAGCCTGGAGGAGTTCCTGCTGGACAGAGGGGCTGACGTGTTTGCCAAGAACAAGAGTCTGCTCATGCCTCTGCACATCGCGCTGGACAAGTCCCAGTGAGTTCTCTCTCTCTCTCCCTCTCTCTCTCTCACACACACACGCGCACACGCACGCACACACACACACACACACACACACATACACACGCGCGCGCGCGCACACACACACACACACACACACACATACCACACACACACACACCACACACACACACACGCACACACACACACACACACAAGATGCGTTGTGCTCACTTTGTCTAAGTTAGACAGCCTCAGTGTTTATATGTGGGTGGTTGGTGGGTGCTCTGGTGTGGTTTGCTCCCTCTTTCCTATTAAACAACTATCGTCTTTATCTCTTGTAACACCTCTTAATCTTCCGCACTTATATGACCGTATTATATTTTAAGTGCTGTAAAACACTTCCTAAAAACAAAACTCTCTTGTAACACCTAATCTTTGACACTTATATGACCTTATTGTGTTGCAAGTGCCGTAAAACTCTCTCTATCCACGGGGCAGTGCCACTGACTGAAGTGTCTTTAGGCCATTCCCAAAGGGGGGATATTTCTCGTTCATGCACAGTAGAATTGTAAATGGGCTGTCTCATGTCACGCTCATAACTGTGCCTGATCTACAACAGGGAACTGCTGCTTTTGCTTTCCTAATCCTTACTATTGTCATTTTCCTCTACTTCTTTTGTATGTTTGTCACTCTCTTGTGACCTGCTATTTCCAGGGTGCCTTGATAGTCGAAGCAGACCTTGTGCTGTTGAAGCTAGAGAGGTGAGCAGTCTAAGTCTGATTCCCTGTAAAGACTTCTCTGTTGACACCCACCCCTAGCGCTCATATGACCTTATGCAGTTGCGAGCTCTGTAAAACCCTCTACTATTAAAATACTATAAAAAACTCACTAAAATTAAGTAATTAAATGTGCACATATAGTGCTCACTCTGTCCATGGACGACAGCATCCGTGATTATAATGAACACACATAGTGCTCACTATGTCCATGGACGACAGCCTCCGTGATTATAATGAACACACACAGTGCTCACTCTGTCTATGGAAGACAGCCTCCGTGATTATAATGAACACACACAGTGCTCACTCTGTCAATGTAGGACAGCCTCAGTGATTATAATGAACACACATAGTGCTCACTCTGTCAATGTAGGACAGCGTCAGTGATTATAATGAACACACATAGTGCTCACTCTGTCAATGTAGGACAGCGTCAGTGATTATAATGAACACACATAGTGCTCACTCTGTCAATGTAGGACAGCGTCAGTGATTATAATGAACACACATAGTGCTCACTCTGTCTATGTAGGACAGCCTCGGTGATTATAATGAACACACATAGTGCTCACTCTGTCAATGTAGGACAGCCTCAGTGATTATAATGAACACACATAGTGCTCACTCTGTCAATATATGACAGCCTCCGTGATGATGAGCAGACGAGGGGTTTTACACAGACACAGAGGTTGACATTTGTTTCCCTTGTGTCAAAGTGGGGGGGGGTTCGGTTCTTGTTTGTCAGGATGCGGTGAAGACCTCTTCTGTTACCTGACCAGAATGGTGTAGTAGTAAGGCTCTTCATTGTTGTACGCAGAAGTCATGAGTTTTATTCCAAAGTCGGGACACGATTCTCTCAAGTATTGTTCTTGTCTGTTGGAATGTTGTTCCCCGGGTGGCCCTGACAATAGTTTGTGCAAAAAGTGAAAATATCCACAAATGTCTTTTGTTCCGATGTTTTGTTGTTGTTTTGTTTTGTTTCATTCTGTAACTTGTTGATTTCTCGTATCATAAAAAAAACCCTCCCCCACATTTTGTTGCTAGAGTGGACCCGATCGAGCTGTGCAGCTTGTTGACCAGCTTCATGCGTGACCAGCGTGTGGACGAGCCCACACAGAGAGGGTTCACTCCCCTGCTCTACGCCGCCTGCTCCGGCGCCACCATCTGCTGTATGCATCTTCTGCAGGTACGCCACGCGACGCATACTCGTGCACGCTCACACATAAGCCTTACATGTGTTGCTGTATGTGTACTCTGCACACATACACACATACACGCCCACATGCACACATGCACACACACGCACACACACAAACACACACACAAACACACACACACACACACACACACACACACACACAAGCCTGACATATGTTGCTGTGTGTTTACTCTGCACACACATACACACACACACACACACACACACACACACACACACACACACACACACACACTGTTTGCAAATGCAACTGTAAGTGGTTGGTGAGTGCTCTGGTGTGGTTTGCTTCTTTTTTATCAAACATCTGTGGCTATTATCGCTCCTTCCTTTCTTTGTATAATGTCCTCTAGTAATAACGCCTCTAGTCTTCAGCCTTTATTTGTTGCACGTATGATAAACTAAAACTAAACATTGAACATAAAGAAAATGCAACTTAATAAACATTCTCACAAAATCCAAGTGGCGTCTCTGCTCGTATTTTTCTGTGGGTGACTGAGGGGCACCTTTGGTAGTTCCTTCTTCTTTCCTTTCCCTTTGTTGTTTCTCTCAGTCTGTCCTTTTTTTCCCAGTCTTACATGGTCGCTTTTAAGGACAAGCGGGCTAACCCAGATTTCGGGGGTTTCCCGAAATCTTGACCTACACCAAAAGTGGGCACTGCCCTACCTATAGGAGAAGTTTGGGTTTCATTGGTGTGTGTATTTGTTCGGTTATAGAGAAAACTCTCCTGGTCTTTTAAAGAAACTGAACAAGGGGCAAAAACTTTTCCTTCGATTTTCTCAAAACAGCATTTTTCGGGATAGCCCCCTTGTGCTTAAAAGCGAGCAAATGGCCTGCGTGTGTTTCTCTTGTCTCAAGCATTGGTCTTCCTTTGGGTGTAGATGTAATTCTGCCTATATCTTTCCCAGAGAAATGCCAACATTGAGGCGAAGGAGTTCCGAGGAAACACTCCCATCAACCTGGCAGTCCACCTGGGCCACGACAGGCAAGTTGTCTCCCTCTTTCCCTCTGTCTGTCCCCGCTACTTGTGCTGCTGCGGGAGGTTGGAAGGGGCCACTGGTAGCTCCTCCGCGCTTTTCCCTTTCGTCAACCCGCAGCCACTTCCCAAATCGTCAGCCACCTCCCAACCTTTGGCACGGGTCAAACTTCCATCTATTTATAGGTAGTTAAATCTACCGGAACATGTATTAGGCAAAGTGATGTGCAATGATAGTCGCAATAGAGAGATTGTTTTGGTCTCTCTTTACTCATCTGCACCACACGAATTTAATTGATGTTTTTCCCTGGACTCTGCCTTTACTAAAGTCTCGAATCTAGATCTAGTTGTAATCTAGTTGCAGGTTGCAGATTTAATAAACTGTCGACAAAGAGAGAGAGAGAGAGAGAAGGGGGAGGAGTAGATCTTGCGAGAACTTCCGGGCAAAACAAAATGGCGACCCGCGTATTTCGGCTCGATTCAAAGAGTGATAGAGCCATAGCATCTTTGTAGACGATCAAATTAGCTTACTTTTGTGCTATAACGTCATTTTTTTCTTTGTTTTTGTCAATTTGATCATCCACACCGATAGAAAGTATTTCGAAATTAGGAAAAACAGGTCTTGTTTCACACTGGGTGAGAATAGCCAACGCTGACAAGTCTCACCCGGGGTGAGAGGTCAATCGTAGGGTTTTTATTCTCACCCCGGGTGAGGATAGCCACTTCCCTATTTACATTATGATTAGGTGATTAAACTTGATCACTTATTGACAATATGAAAGTCAATTTAAGCTTAATTTCGTTAGAAAGAAATGTGTTAGGTTTGCTAACTTCTTAGACTTTGTGTTAAACAACACTTTTAACAAAACGAATCCTTACAAGCCTAGGCTTGGCCTTTGTAATCTCAAAGGTTTAGAAGTAGAAGTAGAAGAGTCTACTACTAGATCTAGAGTCTAGTCCTATTTATTTAATCTCTTGAATGTACTGGATAACAACAGAAATCTGCAACCTGCCACTAGATTACAACTCTAGATCTAGATCTAGATTCGAGATTTTAGTAAAGGCAGAGTCCAGAGAAAAACTTCAAGAAATTCTCGTGGTGATGAGTAAAGAGAGACCAAAACATTTTCAGTAAGTAATATATCGCGACTATCACGGCACATCACTTCACCTATACATGTTCCGGTAACTACCTATAAATAAATGGAAGTTTGACCCCGTGTCAAAGGTTGGGAGGTGGCTGACGATTTGGGAGGTGGCTGCGGGTTGACGAAAGGGAAAAGCGCAGCTCTTCCTGCTGTTCATGTCTGTGTATATAGTCGAACTTATATATATATAATATTTCTGTCTTGTTCCTCAAGGTTCTTATGCATAGAATAAGTGTAACATAATATAACCGTATGCATTTATTCCTTTGTTCGCCAGCTGTGGTGTAGTGGTTAGGCTCTTCACTGTCACATAGAAGATATGTGTTCAATACCTGTGTGGGGAGATCTTTTTCTTTGGAGTATCTCTGCCTGTCAGCTGGGACATTGGTCCGCTGGGTGCTCTGGTGTGGGTTTGCTCCTTTCATATCAAATATCTATAGTCCTCATCTCACCCCTTCATTTTAAAAATATGTTACTGTCTCGTAACACCTCTAATCTTCGTCACTTAACCCTTTGAGCCCTGACCTCCTGAGGCTACCGTGGCCCTCTACCTGACCTCCTGAGGCTACCGTGGCCCTCTACCTGACCTCCTGAGGCTACCGTGCCCCTCTGTCTGACCTCCTGAGGCTACCGTGTCCCTCTGTTTGACCTCCTGAGGCTACCGTGTCCCTCTGTCTGACCACCTGAGGCTACCGTGCCTCTCTGTCTGACCTCCTGAGGCTACCGTGCCCCTCTGTCTGTCCTGAGGCTACCATGCCCCTCTGTCTGACCTCCTGAGGCTACCGTGTCCCTCTGTTTGAGCTCCTGAGACTACCGTGCCTCTCTACTTGAGCTCCTGAGGCTACCGTGCCTCTCTACTTGAGCTCCTGAGGCTACCGTGCCTCTCTACTTGAGCTCCTGAGGCTACCGTGCCTCTCTGTCTGACCTCCTGAGGCTACCGTGCCTCTCTGTCTGACCTCCTGAGGCTACCGTGCCTCTCTGTCTGACCTCCTGAGGCTACCGTGTCCCTCTACCTGACCTCCTGAGGCTACCGTGCTCCTCTGCCTGACCTCCTGAGGCTACCGTGCCCCTCTGCCTGAGCTCCTGAGCGATATTTTACTAACATTCATATGATCGTCAGAATCACATTTCATATCACACTCGGGGTAGTCCTTGTCATTACCAGCATTTAATTCAGACAAATTTCTAAAATAATCAATACCATCTTGTGTAGTAAACAGTAAACACTTTTCCATACGCATTTTCTGTCAGGCAGGCTGGATTGGGGATTGGGTTTTGCTCACTGCTGTACCGGTGGCTGGGCATACGGGCAGTTATACACGCGACCTTTGTTCCTGTGGCAAGGGCTCAAAGGGTTAAATGAGGTAATAATGTTGCAAGTGCCGTAAAACTCTTACTAAGTAAGTCATGGTTCAGATATGGGTGCTCTCTTTTCCTTTGATGCTCACAAAACTTGCAATAGACTGCTCAGTGTACGACTCGGGTCATACGCTTTTTTGAAAATGGCGTTTGGCAGAGTGTTACAGTCAGCAGTAGGAGTAATGGCGTAAGCGCTTGTGGAACACAGCTGCCGATATGTAATAGACAAAGGTTGCCTTCCACAGCTGTGCCATCATGTTGATGCAGCGGCACGCCAGTCTGTCCCACCCCATCGTGGTGAGCCTCCCGGAGAAGCTGGAGGAGAAGAAGAACCAGGCGGAGGAGGAAAAGAAGAGGAAGAGACCGGTCATGCTGTGGCGCCCTCGCAAACAGTGGGAGTGTGCGCGCCCCAAGGAATGGCCAGGGGAGACCATGACCTTGTTTGAGGTATGTGAAAGGGTTGTGTGTGTGTGTGTGTGTGTTTTGTATGTCTCTGAATGTGTTTGTTTTGTGCCTGTCTTGTGCTGTATGTCTGTGTGTGTCTGTCTGTCTGTGTTGTAAGTCTGTGAGTGTGTGTCTGTGTTGTAAGTCTGTTAGTGTGTGTCTGTGTTGTAAGTCTGTGAGTGTGTGTCTGTCTGTCTGTCTGTGTTGTCTGTCTGTGAGTGTGTGTGTTGTAGAGAGTTGTACTGACCTTGATGCCGTTGTTGTTTCTTCAGGGAGCGGTCAAGAATGACCTGACTGGGGTGGCACACATGTTGCTGGATGCTCTGGGCATGCCCATGGAAGCTGTGGAGGTACGTCAACAACTGTGCGGGGGTTTGTTTGGTTGTTTGGTTTTTTGCTTGTTGGGTTTTTGGGTTTTGGTCAAGTTTCTTGGGGGAGTGGGTTTGTTTGTTTGTTTCCCACTCTCCCTGCTGGGGGCCGCCACCAGCAGAATTGTCCTTATTTTTCAGCTGTAGCTGTTGCAGGCACTGAGAAGTGATGCCTGTCACTAAATATATAGTGGAGTCTGATAAACTAAAAGAAAATTAAATCCATCCCCCCCCCCCCCCCCCTTTTTGTTTGTTTTTTGGAATCGCCTCTCAAAACCAAAAACCCGGCAAAACCAACATGTATTTTGTCGCGCTAGATGCTGGGTTGAAAGTGTCGTGAGAGTTTTCCACTAACTATTGTTTGTCCGTCTCTCTATACCGGCATCTTTTATGCAATGGTTAGGCTGTTCACTGTCACATGCAGGAGAGTTTGATTCCTGTATGGGAAGTTAATTTATCCAGTATCTGTCTGTCTGCTGGGATGGTAGAGCCTAGGTTGACCCTAACAAGCGAATTCAAAGTAGCCTGACTCTCAAATGATTTTTTAATTGTTTTGCCCAGACTGTGACAGGGTAGAGTGTTAAAATTTATATGTTTGGCGGGTGCTCTGGTGTGGTTTGCTCCTTCTTTCCTGTCGAACATCTGTCTTCCTGATCCCTTCTACTTCTTTTCTGTGTTTGTTACTTTCTTGTAACACCTCTAATCTTGGACACTTATATGACCTTATTGTGTTGCAAGTGCTGTAAAACTTACTAAAACGAAAACTTATTTGTTTGTGTGTCTGTCTTTGTTTTTGTCCAGGCGGCGCTGAACCTGAGCAAGTTCAACCTGGCTCTGCGTCTGCTGCGTCGTATCCCAGACGTGAGTCGTCTCCACGCCCTCAACAAGGATGGGCAGAACCTCTTCCACGTGCTGGCCCTCAAGACCAACCGAAACTCTCCTGACCTGCAGACCAAGGTCAGTGGCTGGTTGATGGGTGCTCTGGTGTCATATGCTTTTTCTTTCCTGTCAAAGATCTATCCTCCCTTTCTCTCATCCCTTTAAAAAAAAAAAGTAACTCTCTAGTAATACCTCTAATCTTCTTATACAACCTATTTTTGTTGCAAGTGCTGTAAAACTCCTACTGAAACCAAACTAAGACCAAAATGAGGCCCCTGTTTTTGTGGCAGTCGCATTGTTTTTATCATTTTGATGACTCTCTGAGAAAGAATTGTTTCTGTGACAGTTTGTGAAGAGGCTGTTAGATGCTTGTGGTTGTAACTTGCATCTTTTACCTTCCCTCTGTTGTTTCTGTTTGTCTTGTTCTTTTCCCTGCTCTAAGCATCAGTTTATCGTGTAGTGAGAAAACCAACTGGATAGTTTTATGATAGAGGCACCTGGCCACAAGGGAATACTTTCCATTTGTGAGGTCGTAGCTATATTTAGAAATTGTTCTGATTGGCTAAGGCAATCAGTGCGTGGTCACGTCAAGCCGTGCGGTTGTTGCAGAATGAAAACTGAGAGGTCATGTTGTTTCAATGAACGGGGGCATGCCCTTTTTCCGTCGCAGCTCAAGCCAAAGATGGAGGCCTTGCTCCCTGAGCATAGTAGAAGTAGATAATGCCATAGTATGGGTGCAAAGTTTTCTGTTGAAGTTTATAACGGCAATTCATGTCAGGTGTGTGGTATACACAAATGGGAAGATGTTAATAAATTACTGTTTGTCTTAAGGTCTTCAAAAGTCTCTTCAAAACTGCAAAAAGCTAAAAACAAGTCACCACAAAAGTTCTAAAGCCTTTAGACTCCATAGACAATCATGAATATTCATTTATAAACATAAACCTTAATTTTCAGACATTTGCAATCAGTTTCAATGGGCCTACTCTTTTTTTTTCCCTTTAAATTTTCAAAGATTATGACCATGTATAGGATCATTTACAAGCTTTTACAAATGTTTGTTATAATTTACAGTCAGTTACAAACATCCACAGCTGTTGACAATTAACAACTAACATTTACAATTATTTACAAGCATAAACAGTCTTTTAGAAATGCTAATACTTTACAAAACTGAAGTCTTTTATGGTCATTTACAAAAGTGTACCATTATTTTCAAGCAGTAACAATCTTTTTAAAACCATTAACAATCATTCACAAACATTGAAAATAATTTTTTTAAAATTTGCCATTATTTACAAACACAAACAATGAGGCACAGTCCTTGACAAAGATTTCGGCTTATGTTGCAGGTGGCGGGCGCCCTGTTGGAGAAGCGTCTGCCGCTGGGAGAGAAGGATGGGCGAGGCCTGACCCCCCTCATGTACGCCGTGCTCAAACACCAGTCTGTGGCTCTGGGGAAATTCCTCATACGTAAGGACAAACAACTTTGGAGGGGTGGTTCTCTCTGGATCATGTCTGTATAATGAAATATTTTAGAATATGTTTTAATTCATCAAAGAAATGAGCTTCAGTGTGTGCTGTCTTTCGAATAAAATATTTTGATTAGTATGTTTCATTATGTTCGTTCTGAAGTGCATGATGTCTGATAAATGAACTGTTTGGAGACTATTTTTAAAGTTTATTTTGAGTGCATAAAATGACCTTCATCGTGCATAATAGATTGCATGATTTTAGCTCCTTTGATTCTGATTTTTAACAAAATTTATTTGCCTTTCAACTACCCCAACCCACCAAGGTGTGAAAAGAAGAAAATTAGAAAAACCTGACAGTGTACATGAGCTTGTCACTTGCAGCTGCCGCTCAGTGCCACACAGAGCCCTTGTGGTCGCTCAGTGCCACACAGAGCCCTTGTAGTCGCTCAGTGCCACACAGAGCCCTTGTGGTCGCTCAGTGCCACACACAGCCCTTGTAGTCGCTCAGTGCCACACACAGCCCTTGTGGTCGCTCAGTGCCACACACAGCCCTTGTGGTCGCTCAGTGCCACACACAGCCCTTGTGGTCGCTAAGTGCCACACAGAGCCCTTGTAGTCGCTCAGTGCCACACACAGCCCTTGTAGTCGCTCAGTGCCACACAGAGCCCTTGTAGTCGCTCAGTGCCACACACAGCCCTTGTAGTCGCTCAGTGCCACTTTGCCCAGAGAAAACCATCAGTTGCACCACAGCCAGGTGAAAGGCAAACATTAGTTTGACAAGATGTTAAAAAATTCCTGCACTTTTCGTTGTGAGGGACATACGCCTAGGCCAATGAGAGAATGATATAGCCATGGCCATATTACTCATTTTTAAGCCAGATTTGTTAATCATTTAACCGTGCCAGTACGGCCTGGGGTCATTTTGTACCCCCAGGGTTGTATTCTTTACATTTTAGAATACTTCTAGTTTGAACATCTCTTTGAAACTTTCAGTATTTCTCAGAACATCATTTTGACAGACTGCTGTGCAAAACGTGCGGATCGGATTAAGGAGTAAATTTCCTCTTTGGAAAGTGGTGGCACAGAGTTCTCCAGGTTGTATGGATACGATAGTAAAACACGACGTACGGATAGGGTTAAGTGGTGGCACAGAGTCCCCCACGTCGTATGGATACGATAGTAAAACACGACGTACGGATAGGGTTAAGTGGTGGCACAGAGTCCCCCACGTCGTATGGATACGATAGTAAAACACGACGTACGGATAGGGTTAAACATTCTGGCAGGTGAGCAACCCTGATATTGATAATGCCTTTTGAATGAAATTTTTGGGTGTCTGTTTCATTGAAAAATATGTTTTGCTTTCAGAGAACGACCTTCAGTACAACCCGAAAGTGCGAGACAACCTGGACCGAGACATCATGGCAGCCTTCATGTGGGACTACAGCTGGGTGTCTGACAAATTCAAGACGGAGGAAGTCCGGTGAGACATGGTCGTTACACGGGGGGGGGGGGGGGGGTATATCTGTGTATATCATGGATGCTACAGGGGGGGGGGGGGTATCTGGGTATCCTTATTCTGTGTTTACTTGGCAGTCTCTATATGTGAGGCATCATGGTGGAATCAGGCGCTTGTCAAACTAATAAAATCAAAGAAAAAGGCATTTTTCTGCCTGTTCAGTAATATTTGTCAATTTTCTGTTATTTGGCTCAACACCTAATATGTCCTTGTAAAATGCATTACTGTTGGGATTTTAATGAAATGTTGATTGAAAGCTCAAAAAATGTAAATTTTCAGTTTTAGGGCTCTCAAGCTTTGGAAATCAACCAACTTTGGCGTCCATTTTCTCGCTAATTTTACCACTGAAACCAGGCGACCCCCAACTCCTTTAATGGCATATGTCTTGACTTCTATTCAAGATACATTTGTATTTTTTTCATGGAAAGATAATTAAATGAACAAGCTTTAAGATGATATGAATAACCTCACATGCCCAAAAATTGACGAGCGCCTACTTCTACCGCATCGGGACACATATATATGTCTATATCACTGTGTGTGTCTTATCCCCTCACGCCTGTGTCACTGTGTCCTTTCCCCTCAGAGAGTGGCTGGAGGTACTGACCACCAGAGGGAGAGTCTCACTGGACACCCTGTACGACCACCCCCTCCCCGACCCCCTCCTGCTGGGAGCCAGTGTGGACCTCCGACAGCCCGACTACTTTGAGACCCGCGGTGGCCACCGCACCACCCCCTTGATCTTCGCCATTCGCAATTACGACTTTGGCCTAGCCAAGTTCATGTTACAGAAAGGAGCCAGCCCAAATTTCCCTGACAGTCACGGCCTCACCCCGATGATACACGCCGTACAGATGGTGAGTCTTATTGCCAGCTCACACTGCACAGACTTATTGGCAATTCACACTGCACAGACTTATTCCCAGTGCACGCTGGACTGACTTATTGCCAATTCACACTGCACAGACTTATTCCCAGTGCACGCTGGACTGACTGATTCCCAGTGCATGCTGGACAGCACGCTGGACAGACTTATTGCCAGTGCACATTACACAGATTTATTGCCAGTGCACACTACACAGACTTATTGTCAGTGCGCGCGGCACAAACGTATTCCCAGTGCACGCTGGACAAACTTATTGCCAATGCTCGCTGGACAGACTTATTGTCAGTGCACACTGCACAAACTTATTGCCAGTGCATGCTGGACAGACTTATTGTCAGTGCACACGGCACAGACCTATTGCCAGTTCACACCGCTCAGACTTGTTGCCAGTTCATGCTGGACAGACTTATTGCCAGTGCACGCTGGACAAACTTATTGTCAGTGCACATGGCACAAACTTATTGTCAGTGCACGCTGGACAAACTTATTGTCAGTGCACATGGCACAAACTTATTGTCAGTGCACGCTGGACAAACTTATTGTCAGTGCACATGGCACAAACTTATTGTCAATGCGCGCTGCACTAACTTTCCTCAAATCCCTATTTGATACAGTTGAGGGTGGCCAGAATTTCCTTCGTGGTGGAGGGGCCAAGCTGCCATTTTGGTACAAATGTGATTAAATCTTAAAAAATGTACCTGTTGACCATTGTAGGTCATGATCAGTTGGATGGAATGATGGCCAAAGGGAAATAGGAAGGCTACTAGACTTGGCAGAAGTTACGTTTTTGTTTGCATGTGGAATGTCATAAACCGTAATGGGCTTCTCATTGCTTGACAAACTGACAGTTATAGTGTTAATGGCCTTCTCTTTGCTTGACAAACAGTAACTGACAGTTATAGTGTTAATGGCCTTCTCTTTGCTTGACAAACAGTAACTGACAGTTATAGTGTTAATGGCCTTCTCTTTGCTTGAACAAAAAAAAGCATTACGTGTTAATAATCCCCCTCTCTCTCTTTCTCCCTCTCCTTCTCCCTCTCCCTCTCCCTCTCCCTCTCCCTCCCTCCCCCTCATTGGATGGTTGTAGACCGCCATTGGTAAAACCATTTTATTTCATCTGTTACGTGTGTCTATCTGTAGTGCTTTTGCCTTGCACTTAATGACCTTCACTGTGTTGATGTAGGTAGCGTAAACACGGCCTCGCGGGCACTCGCGGCCTTCCGACCGCGTGGTATCGGTGAAATCAGGGTAATTCAGATCGCTGTTTCTTTGCTCTTTCGCTATAAAAACACCAAGTACCGTACACCTTCTAAAAGTTCAGCTTTTCCTCGTTACAATGGTGTAAGTTGTTTTTATGTCCGATTAGTAGGAGCTGGAGAATCGCCGACGAAAGCGAAGCCCCTCGTGGTCGGCCGGTTGAAAAATTGACACGGCTGCATTCAAATGCTTCGCGGAACGAGG